TCACTGCTTATATATTAGTACAATTTGAATTTTTGGTTGTTGTTTTTTTTGTGTTGTTTTAATTCTACAAGTCATTAGTATTAATAATACTACATACATGTGTTAGAGTCAGGTTCTTTTTTCATTTCTTACCATCTCTACTGTCCCTACCAGTTTGCTCAAGAAAAAGAACATACATTTTCCAACTTCAAAAGTTAACTTGACAAATAGGTTGACTGACAGTTTACCTTCAAATAGAATCAAGAAAAACATATGCATCCAATGAGCTGCAGCACGGTTCATTTCATGATCACTTAGCGCCATCTTGAGGTCAGAGAAGTTAACTACGGTTAAGAATAAAATTTCAGGGCCTCAGATATTTAACTGCATATGAATTATTGCCATAGATTTACTGCAAACCTTGCTTTCAATAATATGCATCATATGCTAATTTGCTTCTGTTTTTTTTAATTAATTGTCAGAATGTTTTTACTTTGCTTTCTTTAACTGCCTAACAGTCGCTTTGTCTCATTTTCTCTTGTACATAATATGCTTTTGGTAAGAGTTTGCTTAGGTCACAGGAGAACTTACATGCATCCTCTCAAGCTCTTCCTTGCACTCTCTCTTCAGCTGCAAGAGGGCGGCCTGGTGCTCTGAAAGAAGGCAGAACAAAAACACAAAGGTGTTCAGTGTGGACTTCGCTCAATGATCACAGCTTGGGGTATAGACTGAGAGACAGGTTAATCTTCTGCCTGAAATATTGACATGTTAAATCACAATCAAGTTGAGATATAAAGACAAGGGCCATTACAACACCATGTGTCTTTAGAGGCTAAATTCTACAGAAGGGCGAGTCTATATTTACCACTCAACCAACCAGTTTTGATTCTCCTGCTGCTGAGGTAAATGCCAAAACAAACAATTTTGTTGGACCAAGGCAACAAATACAGATAGGTCTACCTGCTGGTACTGATAAAATCCAGACAGCAAGGGAAAAATGTCACACAACAACATTGTTCACCTGAGGACCATGATGCCACAGCAGTAGGAAATACATACCACACTATTCTAGAGGCTCGCTCATAAATGCTGTGATCGTCGGTGTAGTTTCACTTTACAGTTGGTGATTAAGTTGAATGCACTGCACCCATTAGCTACACCTAACAAGTTCATAAATATACACGCAATGTCATCGCCTATAAGCATATTGTCACACTGTTTTCACATGTTAGGATAACACTGTTAGTTTTTGGCTATTATTTCTAAATGAATAAAGTCTTTATTACTTGGTCGGTTGGTTTGACATTTTCACCGTTTCCCCCAGGGAATAATGATTAGGGAACTTGATGTGTGAAATTTGGGGCAGCTTGATTGAAATTAAGGTGACTGTTGTTTGGAGGGTGTTTTCATCTGCGTGTTATTTAGCAGGATTATGCAAAACGTGGTGGACAGAACAAATAAAGGCTATGAAGATTATGCTGTTTGCACAATCACTGACAGACAATACATTGCTGTAAGAAGTAAGAATGTATTGTGGTAATGATTAATCAAAGTCAGTGTTTTGTATCAATAAAAGAATCTATTCTTAATAGACATTGTGCAACTTCATTGTCAACATGATACAGGGTCATAAATGTGCTGAAAAATTGTGAAAGTAAAATGTAAATATGAAAGCAAAAGAAAGATAGAAAGAATTGTGTATGATATGCACTCGCACATGCATGTGTGTTTATCTATATGTTCAAAGTCTGGACTTTAGCTCTCCTTTATTCTTTTCGACGAGAGCAAAGCTCAATCCCTGCGAGCAAATCACCAGAATAATCCAACCTTGCTGGTTTTAATCAGACACAGAGAACACCCAACATCTGCTGCACTGCTGTTACACCACAGTTTCACTGTACCCAGATCATGAATGAAAAGCTTTTTGCTTTGGGACTGAATCAGTCCATGTGTGCTTATGACCTATTTGTGTTATTACACCTTTAGAGGTGGGCCAAACATGGCTTGCTGCCCAGAGTGTACTTGATTCCATAAAATGTTTTTACCCGACTGTAACACCCACCCCCATGCTACCCACCTTGTGGTGCCATGAAACAGCAGCAACACAGACAGCAGCATTACCACACACACAGCCTCACAGCATGTGTTCTTAAATTGATTAAAAGGATGTCTTACACCCTGCTGCTGATACTGAAGAGTAACTTGTGAGTGCTCAAGAATTCAATATTGGTGTTTTTTGAGTTAAAGGTCCAGTGTGTAAGATTTAGGTGAAAGGGAACTATTGGCAGAACTTTGATGTAGAATAATCCTCATGATGTTTTCACTAGTTCGTTTCATCTAAATTGGATGAATTGTATTCTTTACCCCAGAAAAGGCTCTTTATATTCAAATACTTTATATTTACATCGAGGGGACCCTCTCTACGAAGGCCGCCATGCTTTTTACATTAGTCCAGACTGGACAAACAAAACACTTTTTGAGTTTTTATGACAACTGAAGGCCACCACAGGTTCTCTTTCATGTTTGGAAGGGGAGGGTGAGGTGAGGGGTGTTCAGCTGCAACATGCAAATTCAACACTAGATATCACTAAATTCTACACACTGTACCTTTCAAACTCAATCAAGTAAAAATATACCAGATATCAATTCCAAAGATACTAAAGGTAATGACCTTTATCCACAAACACATCAGTGTGTGAGGTGTGTCAGTGTGTAGGCTTGACAAGGATGATCCTCTGCCAGCATTCCTGGTCTTAGAAGTTATTACAGGCAACACTGTATAAAGCAACAGGCGTGAGGTTCTCACCTGCCTCTGTGTACTTGAGCCCCACCTTCTCCTCCTCATCTTTAGCTTTGGGTGGGGGCCACACAGCTTGCAGCCGCCCTGGAGTCCGGTCCTCACTGTCTGTAGGGGACGTGATCTCTGTCTATGGTCAGAAAACACATGCAACAGTATAAGTACATATGGGTAATGACATTAGTATTCTAATTTCTGAGGGCCATTTTTCTGAAAATGCATAGTTTCTCCTGTCTTAGGAGTAAATAAAAGGCACTTCTGCCAAAACATGTAATTTAAGAGGATTTGGGAGTAATATTACGTACATTAGCCTCTGTGGGAGTTTTGACTTCGTTCCCAGGGGTTTTGGAGGCTCTCTCAAAAATTGACCTCAGATTTTCCTTATCATTCTTGATTTTCTTTTTCACTGCCTCCAGATCCACAGTCTCGGTTTTATCCTTTGTGGCAGTTTTGGTGCCAAATATGTTCCTGAAAGTTTCATAGGCCAGGTCTGAAGTTTTCTTTCTTTCAGGTGTGGATGTAAGTACCTCTGGGCCTGAGGTCTTCTCTCCTACAACCTCCTCTACATTCTCAGCATCTTTCTTACTGTGTTGAGGAGAAGAATCCTGGCGGCCATCTGACTGTTTGGTGTCTTCATGGCTATCTGATTTAAGCAGATGACTGAGCTGTCCCATTACAGTGCTTTTAGTATCTGCAATGGATTTAGGCTCTACATGTTTTTTGGCTGGAGATGCTGCCCTCTGGTCAGGGAAGAGCTTGGCTTTGTTTACAGTCTTCTTCAGGTTGAGCAGGGCCAGGTCAGCGTCCTTCTCCCTCTGCTTGATCTCTGACACTGTCTCCCTCTCATCACCCACTGCTCCTTTCTTCAACACCCTGAATCCACTGAAAAGAGCTGGCATCTGGAAGGAAGGTGGCGAAGGAAGGGCTGTGCCCTTAGACGGGGATGAGATGGAGGATTTAGAGGAGGGTCTAGCAGGTGATGATGATGGTGATGTTTTTGCTTCAGCCGTCTTTGGACTAGTTGGGTGCTTTGAAGGGCTGGTACTTGGCGTAGTGTCACCCAGGGGTCCTGAATTTGTTATACCAGCAGTTTCTGATTGCTCCACTGGGCTAGAGGATTCAGGAGTCTTAGGAGGGGTGGTGGGAGCAAACATTTGACTGGAGTGAGATTTCTCTGTCCCGTCCTCAGCCTCCTTCCTTTGCTCATGTGTCACCTCCTTTTGTGCACGATCCAAATCATCGGACTCCTTTGACAGGGAGGCTGTGGCACCATTATGACCTGCACTCTCCAAAGAAAGAGGTCTGGAGATGATGGAGGGGACAGGCTGAGAGCAATCTATGCCAGCATACTCATCACTCGCTTCCGTTCCCACATTGTTACCACTATTCTTTTCTGCATCCACAGACACTGTAGTGGTGCTCTCTTTGGGAGTGCTGCCTTCTTTCTGTTTGGTACCAGAGGAGACAAGACTTGTCCTAGAGCTGGATCTATTCAGAAACTTGTCTGAGTAAAGAATAGCTTCTATGCGGGATCTCTCTGTAAATTTGTGAGTTCTAAACACAGGCACTTTGTACTCATTTTCTTCACCATGGTTCACTGTATTATTCTCCTCAGGTGCAATGGTCTTTGCCTGCTTCTCTGACTCCTCATCCTCATTTTCTGTGTCACTAAACGTTTCGACCTTAGTGACCTTGACCAGATCTGGGTCAATCGGGGCTCCAGCTGCTCCTCTAACTTGTTCAACAGATTCTTTGCCATTCTTCAATGATTTAGCCCTCTGCCCTGTATCACTGGACGTCCCCTGCTTGTTCTCACTGTTAGAAGCTTGGCCACCATCAGGACGAGGTGTCTCACCATCCGACAGCTCCTTGAAAGAAGTCAGCACAGCCGACTGCACGCCTGAAGACACAGATCTATCCCAGTTCAAGAAACTGCTGAAGGTGTTCAGTAAGGAGCTTGCAGGCTGCTTCACCGCCTCCTCTGAGTTATTACTTGCACTTTCCATTTTTTTTTAAGTGTCTCACCACCTGAGAGCAAAGAGAGGTATACCCCGTACAGGTAGCTGCTTCAGCAAAGTGTCCATTCAAAATGTCACAAAAGGTTCATCTCCTTGCCTCCAGTTACCCAAGTTGCTCCTATTCCACCATTCGCCGTTGGCTTGGGAACAAAAGGCCTTTGTGTGGACAAATCTCCCCAGCTCCTCTTACCTTCTTCGGGAGGGTGCCAACCGTAACAACACTATCCTATAATCTTGTTTAGTGACACACATTCAGGTAGCATGTAGTAAAGCTCATGATGTCACATAAAGTCTACTGCAGGTTGTGTGTTGACAGCAGTACAGTTCAGTCTCCTCTGTGCGAGCACAACTCCCATCCAAGTGAGGTCAAGCTGCTCAGTGACTGGAAGCATGTCCTGCTGTAATCTCCCTGGGAGAGCAGGAGAACAGAGTTCACTCGCGTTTCACAAAAGCATTTCCAAATGTTCCAGCAAGCGGAGCGGCGTTATCCATAGTTGTGGATTATCCTTCTCTCTTTGGAGTCCATGACTGAACTTCTAGTGTGTGTCTGTCTCCGTTTACAGGAAAGCAGTGTGTGCTGTTTCCTACGTGAGAAAAAAAAAAAATCTCTCAGGTTGGAAAAAAAAAAAGTGTCTCACTGGTCTACCCAGTCTGGGGACGCCTCCCTCCCTTCAAGCTCCCTCCCTTCCTGGGAGGGGACCTGCAGGGCCCGGCACCACAGGTGTCTGATTACCTCTGCTCACTTCCCGTAAAATGGCTGCGGAGGTAAACAGGGTGAACACGGAGGAGAGGTGAAGTCTGTGGCCAGGTGCAGAGAGCTGCAGCCATAAAGCAGCACTGCAGCATTACGCAGTGAGTTACTGCAACACAGGGCTTAAGAAGTGGTGATTAGACAGTGTGTGTACAGCCAGCCCTGGCTACCAGGCTAATGTGTGATTAGCCAGCCTGTGGTACCTCCAACTAAAGCTAACAGGCTAATGTGTGATTAGCCAGCCCATAGTACCTCCAACTTGAGCTAATAGGCTAAAAGGCTAATGTGTCATTAGCTAGCCTGTGGTACAACCAACTCAAGCTTACAGGCTAATGTGTCATTAGCCAGTCTGTGGTACCTCCAACTCAAGCTAACAGGCTAATGTGTCATCAGCCAGCCTGTGGTATGTCCAACTCAAGCTAACAGGCTAATGTGTCATTAGCTAACCTGTGGTATGTCCAACTCAAGCTAACAGGCTAATGTGTCATCAGCCAGCCTATGGAACCTCCAACTCAAGCTAACAGGCTATTGTGTGAACTGAATTCAGTAAGAACAAACACACACATTTTGATTCACTTACCTTAAGCATTAATTTCAACGTTCAGTACATAGAGAACATTGACATTTTTCAAATAGGAAGTTAAGTTTTGAAGACGCAGTTTCCAAGCTAGCGACAGGCAATATAATCCATGTGTGAGGGGTGAATACCTCAACAGTTTTTATAAGACATTAAAAAACAGATAAATAACTTCTGTGGTGTTTACACTATCTTTTTCGTTTATCTTTACAGGCTCTAACCTCTTATTGATTTTTGTATAAATGTCAGTTTAGTGTTATTCTAACTGTGGTCGCCCTTAGTAACCAAAGGTCATCCTTGTTGAATACCATGTTTCAGACTTCCTCAATGAGCTCAGTCTCAGCTGGAGCCACCACAGGACTCACTTATCAAGGAATTTTGTTTGAAATAGTGTATTATAAATATTTTGTCCAGTTTTATGAAGACAAAAATTAAACAAGAAAAGGGGAAGATATTTTTGAGGAGTGGACATTTCTCAAGACTGCAAACACAATAACAAATGGCAAAAGGATTGCATGAAAAATGGAAGCACTGTTGTAATTTTTAACCTCAGTCACTGTAATAATTTAATATCTGCTACCAATCAAAAATAACAAATAAAAAAAACATGTGTAACTGATTGTTCCTGGGACCGGAGATTTATTTTCATCTATCTGAGGAAAGCTACCAATGGAGAGGGAGCCTCTGTGGAAGTTATGTAAGAGCAGTGGTATTTCATACACACACAGTAAATCCCCTTGACAGGTTGTACTAGAAAGAGGCACCACTGACTGACAAGGCAGTGATGTGAACTGGTATCAGCTCAGAAGTGAAGTTATTAATTTAAAGTGTATTCAGAGAGTTGTCCTGTTGACTGTAAATGTTTGTTACTTAATGCAACATATATTTAAATCATGTATTCCCTCATTCATTTACACTCAAAGTGCTACAATGACAAACTGTCTTGGCAGAGTGTGGCTTTTTATCTCCGCTAAGGAGGTTCTTTTCATCTGCTTGTTATTTAGCAGGATTATGCAAAAACTACTGGACTTGGTTGAAGGTATGAGTCAGGGAAGAAACCATTACATTTTGGTGCAGATCCCAATCAGGGGGTTTCATATCATTTCTTTATCCATCCCTGAAAACATTATATACACACTGTCAACAGTCTATGTATAAAGTGACTGAAAAGGCACAGGCAGATGCAAAATGCTAATCTTAGATTTCTAGCTATCCAATTCATCTCCCAGATTAAATCAAAGCAGAACAAACAATTTTTCACACTTGTAACCCTCAAAAATAGCTTCACATACTATTTTTTAAGAATCTAATATCAAGTTGTTACATTTGCATTTCCACAGTCTAATCCAAACTGAAACACATCGACCCCCCCCCTCGAGTTTTGAACCACAAATTTACAAACATCTCTTAATCATATTTATTCCCCTGAAGTATAAAACTAACTTTGGGCACCACACTTTGGGTGGATGCAGGAATTCTTTATCACTTTCTTTGACATGTGCAGATTTTGCGTTTTTCAACATTAACAAGTTTAGGGGACTGATATTTATGAGTGTATGTAGTGCACTGTATGTGGTGCAGATCAAATGAAAATACATATCTATTGAATTTGAATGTGGTCTCATAAAAGGACTTTTGGGCCTTGGCGGAGGTATCGCTCTACCGAGTGCTATTCTAGTTTCTAATAAAATGAAAATGAATGACAATGACAAAGAAGCCATTCCACAGCTAGGCTAGGTATGTGTGATGGCTATCACAACAGGACAGAGAGTCTGATTCTGAACCGCACAGCCTTTGTGTCAACTGATTGCACTGTCAGTCAGGACACTTATTGTGTCTCGGGGAAAACAATGCATGGCATTGCACTGATACACTACCCGCCTAAAACCACACCCAGGTAATCTGATTTATCTGCCAAAGGAATGAATGCCTTCCCCGACATGATGCATGATGGTGCTTCTTAAGTGTACTGCTTTTTAGTATAATTAAAACTTAATTAATAATTAATAATTAAAACCTATTAAAACTTCCAGAAACAATGTTCATAAAGTACAGTAGGATTGTATTAACCACACACTCTTTGAGCAAACATGTCTTTGAGTTGCAACTCAGCCAAATAACATTAGGAAATATCACTATTTATTTCGCCTAAAACATAGCAATTAATCACAAACATTGCAAAATGTTTGCAGAAGTAGTTCAAACTTGTTTGCTCTGAACAAGGGAGGTTTGAGTGGAATGATTTCAGTTTTTGGCTTAAACGCCCAGTCTAAAGATTAAAATCCATGACCTGCTAATCCACCTCGAAGAATTTATGATCAGGTGGTTAAATGCCTGAGTGAACAAAAAGTCCCACAAAAGAACCATGGTGCACTGCAACGCGAGAAAAAATGTGCATTGCAGCTAATTGTGATCTTTAGGTGTTTGTTCTGCTCAAGTTTCCTCACCGCGCACTCCAGTTTGGGATAATAGGGCGTGTCCCCAATGATGTCATCCTCCGGCGGCGTGATGCGTAGGAAGTCCAGGTGATCAGGGCGCGGAACACAGGAAAGGGGCTCCTGAGGTTCATCACCATCCAGCATCCAAATATCATCCTGACGCAAGAGAGAATCCTCTGTAAAAACACAAACACATATGCGACCACAGGGTGATTAATGCTCCATGTTGTGCAAGGAATCATTGCAGGGAGAAACACAACAGCACAACATTTGCAATCAGGTGTGACAGGGCTGAATAAGCAGCGGCGTCTGAGGAAAACTAGTTTCCTGTGAAACCAGCATGGGCTACAAAAACGGAACGAGGTAGGAAGCAGGCATCAGAGCCTTTTAGCATCAAACAGGCAGCAAGACATTCCCTTGTTTAGCTGCAGGCTCGAGGGCACAAAGCTATTTTTATCTGCACTTAGTCAGGCCTGTTCCAATCGTCAGCCCCGAGAGGAAGCCACACTGATCCAATAAGGAAAAAATGGACTACAGAGCATTGCTCTTAAAAACAAACATCATTGTTTAATATAGATTTGCATTCAAGACATTGTTAAATATCAAATAGAAGTAGGTGTTTTGTGTGAGCTTGTGTGTTCAGTCATCTCCAGGCCCCGAGGGAGTGGAAATACAAGACTACGCCCTAATTTAGATTAAGAAAAACTGCCCTCTACTGACCAAGGACTTACATACACTTCACAATTAAATGCCACATGTAAACTGTATCCTATAACAAGGCTAAATTTGAAATTCTGTGCTTTTTTCAGATGCAGAATACTGAGAGAGTTTGAATTTTGCCCTTTAACATTAACTACTGCATAGCCTTGCTCATGTGTCACTGCCCTGAACAGATCACATGGCCTTAACTTCAGGAGGAACCAGGTTATTGCTGCGAGTGCCAACACAGAAGCATAAAGGCTATTTCAACGACTTCTAATGTGCAAAGAAATGTAATATCTCATGCTTTGCTGCATGCATTCACCGTCTCTAGAGAGTCAGTCATGCAAGAAAAAGAGGATAAAAAGTACAAGTGAAGAAGGATGTGGGGCAAAGACAGCGAGGTGAAAGAACAAGGAGGCGGAGGAGAGAAAACACAGAGGGGGAGGGGGAGGGTTCGGATCTTGAAGCTTGATGTTCTCAATGTCCTGCAGCTGTAAGACAACACCTTGAACTGTTGGTGGCCAGAATTATGAGCTGGAAAACTGACAAATGTACTTCCTGTTCGATGAGATGCTAAAATATCCCATAACCTCAGTATGTAATGAGCGACCTTGAGCAGGGCATGAGGAATTACTGGACTACAGCAGCCACTATATGAATACAAACATGATATGATAATATGAGAGCCCCCCCAACACACACACACACACACACACACACACACAGAAAACTAACTATCAGTCACTTGGAGACAGCTGCAGCGCCTGCACTCCCTCCACTTATCTGGGACTTTGGCAGGATTGGATTAATAAGTTTTCATTATGATAATGCTGCGCTGCATGGTCCCGCAGCGGGGAACTGCTGACTGTGGGCTGGGACACTTCCAAATGTAGCCTTGGATAAAGGCCGGTCTGTGCCAAGGAAAGAAACTATTGATCAGAAACAGCTCTCTCACTTTCTGTCTTTCTCTCCTGTGACGAAGTGTTCAATACATGAAAGAAACAAACGAGGAAGGCCTTCTGATGTGTTTGCTATGTTCCTTTATGCCTACAAAAACATAACGCTTAAACAGTCTATGTTTCCCATGATTGAGTAAATATGCATTAAGTGGAAAACAGTGCCACCATCTGGACAGGCAGAGAAAAGGGGCCTGTCTTTCTCCCTATTTTCAGAAACACTGCAGTGGACGCCTGATGCTGCTGCTGCTAGAGATGGAGCAATAGAACAGTAAAGTCAACGTCACTGCAGATGTGAAGCAACTCCTGCATTCATCATGTATAGAAGGCAGCACATTAGTTTACTTGGCAGTTGAACCATCACTGTTGAACACACACACTCAGTGAGGTTACGTTCAGTCCCGTTTAATCTCCATCTCTGCTGCTCTAAAAGCACAGACTGAATCACAGCGTCCGAAACTGAATGAACACAGAGGGCAGATGGGATTGTGTTTGTCTGGCAGCTGACACATAAAGTTTTTTTTGACGGAGAGTAACATGCCGCTAACTGGATCATCCCAAACCAAGACAACTGCACCAGATGCTGTCTGGAGCCTCTACGCAGTATACAAAGCCTTGATGGCAAAGTCAGAGCGCTTAAGTATCTCAGACATCTAGAGTAAACAGACCTGCAGGTGTTGACTGTCCATGCAGTCATTAGACTGAACCCATGCGTTTGAGTGAGCATCTGCCAGACAGTGTGGGTGTTTCAGTGGCACTGGGAAGTATTATTATTTAGTGCGGCTCAGTCAGAGGGCATCCAACGTCTGATCCTGAGAGGTGGGTGTGTTGGTGGCAACAGATTAATCACTCCGTCAGCTCGTCCTCACTCATCCAGCGGTCAGAGAAAGCTCTGCTCAGGCTGTATTGAACACTGTTAGCAGACATGGAACCATTAAGAGTCTTTTCAAACCCTCATAGGCGGTGGCTGTCTTGTTATTAGTGGACCAATGCAGGTCAGGCGAGGTCAAAATATCTCTTTGTATTTCTAAAACGGATTAACTCTACCTCCTCCCCTCTCATCTTTCTCATTCTTATTTAAGACACTCAAACAGCTTTAGCCAGCATACCCACTGCCCTATTTTATCCACTTAGAATCTAACACACACACACACACATTTAAAGCAAAAGAGCTCTGCCATGTGGCATGCTGAGTGCATCTGGCAGCCTCCTAACCCCTCCTCTTTTACCCAGGATCATAGATTTCTATATAAATCATGAAAAATGGAGGATTTGTAAATCACCCTGATGGTTTATGCTCCTGGCACAGCTGTTTTTTTCCACACAGGCTTGTTGGCCATGCAAAGCCGTCAGGCCGGCTGATTGACTGGTTTTGGCCGTCAGTCCTGAGGTTTGTGTAAATACAGGCTACAAATGGAAACCCAGAGGAAAATGCTGCAGGTGCCCCGTGGGCCGGAGCAGATATGTAGCATGATCCTCACAGAGTCGTTTGCCATGCAGCTCTGGAGGATGATTGGATAATAGAACAATAAAGGAAGAGAGTGGAGTGTGTTCATTTGGCCTGGCAGGGCATTGACTGAGAGACAGGACATTTGGTTATCTTTGCTTCAATCTACCAGTGAGTGCATGTATAAAATACAGGGTTTCTGCAGGTTCCTTTTAAGAATTTTTAAGGAATTAAATTTTGACTATGCTATCAGAGTTTAAAAAAATCTGGATTCATTCTATTTATGTTTTTTTTATTCATAGGTCCAGAAAACAATCTTTTCTCCAGTTTTCTCTCTCCCTGTCTTTCACTCTCTATTTCACAGCTGGTTCACTGTTACTCTTCATGACGTGGGGAACGCCGGCTTGTCAGTGGATGAGGGAGAAAGCAAAGACAATGCAGCGTTTCAGCAGGGCTTCAGATTCTTTGGGAGAAAGTATGAGTGCTTATTAAGATGCCGCTGATGTCTCCAATTAAAATGCAGCAGAATTAAAAAATCGAGATCATGAGACCCCTATTTAAGACCTATGCCAAGAAAATATGAGGGAATATTGGAGTCCCAGAATTATGTATTTATACTTTCCCAGATATGGGTGCAGTAGCTGAGTAGAGAATAGACAGTAGGTATCCATAGTCTAGAGATAAAGTCTAACGAGGTGTTTAAAGACAGTTCCACGTTTGTATTGTTTGTAGTTCTATTATAGTGAGCTACTATCTGTATCATTGAGAAAGAACTACAACTCACTAAGACATTCCTATCTAATTTATTTTATATTCTCATATCTAAACACAATGGAAGTAGTTTTATATGTACATAATAAGAGACATACTCAAATATTTTTAACACCTTGTACATAATATTTTAACATATTTAAGAATTTGTAACGCCTAAAATTCAGATAATAAAATGTGTCTTTGATTGAAGCTGATCATACTAAAAACTTCTAAAAGCACGAGATGGGAGGTACTAGATTTACCAGCTGGTAGTGTAGGTATTGTTATGTTGAATAAAGAATAAAAAGTAGCCTGTAATATGAGATTGTGCCTTGTTTCTGTGTGTGGACATTACAGCTTGTACAGCAGTCGTAGCCTGTTTTTCACCTCATTATCTGAATAGAGCCAGCCCTTGTCCTCATTGAACGAAACAGCTATACATGGCAGTGCACTCTGTGTTGAATGACAGCTCGCAGGGAGAACAGGGTGACACACTCTTGCTGATCAGGTTCATATGACCTTCCTGGAACGTATTGACTAATCTGATTATGGTATTGCCTGCCATATGTCAGACAATAAAATAAGTAAGGAATTTAGGAAGGGCGGGGTAAAGGGAACGCGGGAGCGAGAAGGAGAGACACTAATGGTTGAAGCCTGACAACAGTTTCTCCTAAAGCAGCTATAATAAATATTAATTGGCATGATATGTAACATGAGTGGACACAAACGGACTCTGGCTGCTCTCAGCATTGTTTACGGCAGCAGCAGGCGGCTCAAAGAAGATATAACAACACACGCAGCGAACTCACAATACTCGTGACTCACTGCAGCCTTTTACACATACAAGGTGACGATATGTCCATGTTGTGTTCACAGATTCTTTAAACTGAAGGTTTGAAATTTCTTGTGCAGTTTTGATGTTGCGGTTGACTACCTGCTGATTATACGAGAAACAAGAAACAAAAATGCAGCCAGAAAGAGAAACTGATGACTCAGTGTTAATATCAAAAAAATGTATAAAGATGGACATGACACGCCTACATGGCCACCTGGGGGTTGGCTGTAGTACTGGTCATAAATACCGCCTCCTCCATGTTAGTGGATGGGACATGAATATTTTTCCTTTATATAAGAGTGTGGCCTTTCAGTGTGAGAGCAGGACTTTCATGGTCAGATTTTGCTTTCACTCAAAAACTCCTACTTTCCTGTTTGCCATAGATTCTCTCTGTTTGTGCTCAAACTGTGTGCCTATACTCAGATATTCTGTTGCAGATTCCCGGTGCTCCAGCTTCAGCTCTTCTTCTCACACTGACGCGTGCATGAAATAGATACTCTTGTAATTTTAGATTGTTCTTATCACAATAATGTTTGTTCTAGCTCTCATTTTTCAAAAAAAATCGCCATGATTGACAGCTTAGACTGACTGATTGGTCGAGCCCAGGATGGCAGTGTTAAAACGCAGGATATTTTGGCTTTATTTCTAGATAGTGGGAAGAGGTGATGATGTGTTGTCCATCCTTATATCCAGTCTATGGTGAACACACAAGTCCAACACGCTTGTATGCATGAAGTGTTCTGTTACACAAACTGCAGTGCAGGAAGATTAGCACATGAAGAGAATTTGTTTAAAATGACCACTCACGCCGTCTGCATAAGCACACTCATTAATAGGCACTGAGCTTCAATAGGAGGGTGCAGATTAAAGAGCCCGGATGATAATTAGTTCGACATCTGAAGACCCGAGCTTCACACTGACCCACTTAGCCCCTTTTTGGCTGGACACTGTGATGTTCATTTATCTGCGTTAACATCTGAAGTGTATTCAATTATCAAGCAGCACAGAAGTGATCTCGTAAACAGCTCTGATGCAGCAGAACTGAGGGAGGCTTTCTGTTTAAGATTTGAAGGTTAAAGGCACCACTCTGAAGACTGTGCAGCGTGTAGCATGTGGAAAGCATGACGCAGGCAACAAAGTAAGCAGCTCCTCTTCTTTCATACAGATAGCTTATGTGTTATCCATCTGTCATCTATACTGCTTATCCTTTAAGGGTCGTGGCGGGGCTGGAGCATATCCTAGTTGACACTGGGTATGAGGTGGGGTACGCCCTGGACAGGTCGCCAATGTATCCTAGGGCCAGTGTACAGAGACAAGCAACTATTCACACTCACATTCACACCTACAGACAATTGAAACCCTGCTCAGACCTGGTGTTGACATTCGTCCTGAAAGATCGGATCACAAGTGGACAGCGTTAAATACGTGTGTTCACATCTGACATTAAAATGCATCCTAAATGTGTCTCTGGGGACCATTTGTACTTTGTACAGGTCTGAACCTGGTCTCCAATCTGCATGTCTCTGGACTGTGGGTGGAAGCTACGAGTACCTGGAAAGACCTCTCATACATGTGGGGAGAACAAATTAAAAACAATGTTCATAAAGGTTTGGATTTTGACAAAACATATCTTAAAATGAAAATATTCGATAAATATTTGATTATGTGTACAGTTGTGTGGATATTGTTTTGGCCCTGGTGGCATTATCGTTTCTTGTCTGTAGTTTCTCCTGTTTTTAGTGTGACTGTAGTTGTGTGTGGGAGGGAGTACTCTGCAGCTGTGAAAATCTTTGTTCTCTGTCCTGACCATAGACTGTATATAAAAAGCTCCTGACTGACTGGATGCGTGGGCTCGGCTCGGAGAGGTGCAGCTGCAGGTTGGCTCATCTTTAACATCCTGCCATTTAAATTCTCCAGGTTTTTGCCAGCGCCCAGCGACAGAAACTAAGCAGCAGCATCCTGGGTCTGTCCCCGGCCTCCAACCCATTTATGTTTTCAAATAATATGCAACTGCATTTGTGAGTAGTTAGCAGTGGTAAATGTGTAAATAGGATAAGTCAACTTCACTGTACCTAGTACAGAGACTGTGGGGGTGAAGTTCAATTTTGTTATGAATACAAACCTGTTTATCTTTAGGGAGTCCGGGTTTAATGAATGTCTTTTGGTTTGTTCTGTTTCACTTAGATCTCCGTAGCACCTGATTTCTCTTCCGATAAGTTTGTTTTCTTACGTTTTTTGTTATGACCATGGTTCAACCTGAAGTGTGTTTGTTTTCCGGTCACTATCACATGTATTAGTAATAAATCACGATATTGATGATCTGGTGTTATGATTTTGGTTTTTGGGACGGGGCAGGAAAGTCCATTTTTGATTTTATGTTAACAATATTAAGGTATGTGCATGCCAACGCATGAGGACAACCTCAGCGGGAATTGATCCAAATGATCTCCACACCAGTAAAGCTGGGTTACTCATTCCCTTTTTCACCAGTTAGTTTGGTTCAACAGAGCTCAGCACTCATCCCTCCTCCCCCTAAAGGCTGCTGCTGAGCTGAGAGATGCTGACTTGTGCTGCTTGGGCTAGCACCATAGTCTATGATGTAAAGATTCAAAACACTCTGGGGCCTCCTTTAGAAAACGCAGCATTGTTCTGAAAATAATAAATTAAACTATCTACGTTTTCCACAGTCTTAAAGTGAAATATATAAATTGGTGGGAGGCCATCTGTTTGCTGCTGCAGATTAAAGTAGTCTGGCTGACACTGAGTGAGAGGGCTGATTAACCACATTACAGAGGGACATAATGCAATCATAATAAAGCCTACAGAATTAAATTGGATTGTGAAGCTTGGAGAGATTCCAGGGAAGGTGTATAAAGTTTGAACCACCACAAAAACATCTTCTACTGAAACGTTCACACAGTGGCCTGAGAAAAAGCTGCTGATCTGAGCTTGTGACATTATTGTGGCTTTGCAAAGATTATGTACATTGCGAGTGTTTAAATGCATTTATTCTGTCATCGTTAGATTATAAAAAAGGGGAAAGGAGTCCTGCAAATAAGGAACTTCTAATCATTATTTTCTCCCCTGCCTTGTGCCGGCTGGGTACGTGATCCTTTGTCAGCTTCCTGTGAAAGAGGTTAGGATGTGGGTTTTTTAAGGGGAGGGACAGCAGATCCAAATTGGCAATGCTTCAGTTAACACCGTGCTCACGAGAACCCTGGTCAGTTCAAACTCTGTGTCAACTTTGATCTGAGACACTCCACTCCTAATCTCTGCCTTTTCCCTCTTGCGGCACTGAGAGCGTTAAAACGGATCATCGGCCAAACTATTCTCAGGCCCCGCTTGCCCCTTGTTCAACTCTGCTGGGTAGTTTTTAATTTGTGGTCATATGTCAAAGCCAGGACGAAATAACACAGCAGTTAAAGCCTAACAGAGACGCTTTGTAAAACAGTACCCTTCTGTTGATTTAGATAGTGGAGGAGTCACAAAGTGAAACTCCTTGTGCAGAAATAGTTTGTCAGTTGTGTTGCACACTAATTACTGGGGCTTTTCAACAAAAACCTCAGGCACACACACACACACAGACAGACCCACACAGACACATGAATCTTGCTCAAAGCATATTCATCTGTTCTTTGAAATACAGCTCCAGCAGTTCTAGAGCGAGGGCATATTCTGACAAGCCTTTCATGCTCCTCTCTGAGACGATAAAAAAGCAAGGATGTCAACATTCACATCAAGGCATGAATCAGTGTGTTCAAAGTGCTATTGGAGCGGGGGGATTTCTCATAACTCACCTGTTGTTGTGGAGTTGCTGGAGGAATTCCACTTGGAGGTGCTGGGCCTCCTGCTGATGTTCAGGTCCAGGCGGGTGATGGTGCGCTTGTTGCCGTTCTTGTCGATGACCTCTGTGAAGATTTTGGGCTCGTCCGTGTTGCCGGAGCTGTCCCGGGCCGGGTCCACGTCCTTGTCCGACAGCAGCACGATGCGGTGGTTGAGCTGTGGGCTCGCCTGCTTACAGGGCAGAGGGGACAGGACTGGGGACATTCTCTGGAGGCTGTTTGATGCGGGGAAAGAGGTGTTGAAGACCCCGGCCAGAGACGCAGAAGATGGGCTCTTGATGTGGGATTTGGATGAAGGTGAAGGGTTGGTTGTATTGGACAGGGGCAACCATAGCCCCTCAGACTGCTTGTTACCTGTCAGCTGTTTACCAACCCCAGCCAGGTGGTCTCCGTTTGTCCCTCTCCACTCGGCGGGCCCTTCCTTCTCTGGGCTCTTATGGCTAACATGGTGGACCCTCCCCTCCTCATCAAGCACTTTAGCCACCACCCTGACCCCCATATTCCTCTGATTGATGTTGCCACAGGGCTGCTGAGCAGACCTGACTACTGATGCATTCTCAGATAACGTCTCTACCGGAGAGTCAAACCTCTTAATTGGTCGAAGATTGCTCCCACTTTCCCGTCGGGTCAGTCCCTCCATCAGGCTGCAAGAAGATGACTCGAAACCCAGCTCGCTGTCGTATTCTGAGAAGTCGCTGCAGAAATACATGTCGGGGTCAAATGTCCGGTTGTCCTCAATGAAGTCCCAGCCCTCACGGCCGATCTGGAAGGGTTCCTCCATTGGCAGGATGGGATTACTGACTGCACTGACATAGGAGCCGGTGGCTGGGCTGTCAGACACATGGAGGGTGGCTGGAATACCTCGGATCTGCTCCACTATTGAGACTGCGGATACGGCCACACCATTCTGAGCGCCTGAAGTCCCACTTACAACTTTCTTCTTCATCTTACTGTGCAGTAAATCCTCCGCACTGTCAAGCTTTTTGCTTCCAAACTTTTTCAGCTTCTTACTCTTGGACGTGGCTCTCTTGTGCTCCGGAGACACAGCGACAGAATAGCTGCCGCTGCTGCTGAGAACCCGACCTCCAACGTGAACTTCCTGACCCTGCATGTAATCCTGGAATTTCCCATCCTGGTTACCCATCCTGACCTTGTTGGTGCAGTCCCGACACAGCGATAGGAGATCGGCCAGCAACTGGTGGTGCTCTGCCGCCAGCCAGCAGAGCTCTGCAACAACCTCCTTTGTTGCCTGCTGGGAGTTGAGGAGTTCTCCCGAGGTATAGGAAGAGTGGCCTCTTTGTTTGGACGCTGCAAGATCCTCCTTTCCCCAGTCATGATCATTGCCGGCGCTTTCTGAATGAGGGGCACGGCTCTTGTACTTAAAGCTCGGGGCCCGCCTCTTGGGGTAATACAGGCTGATGTTGCTGAACTCACGGATGGGCGCATACAGGATCAAGACGGTGTGTGTGCCTTCCATGACGGGAGCCATGTTAATCTCTCAAGCCCTCCAAAGTAGGTTGTCAGGCCCCAGACAGAGTGACTGGGCTTGGACTGCAGAGGAGGATTTCTGGCCATTCATCACTTGGCCTGTCCAGATGCTGTCAGAGAGAAAGTAGCAAGCAGTGATACATCAGACTTAACAGACACAAGATGTCTAAACAACATATTAAGGACATTTGTTGAGCCCTAATGCCAGACTTTTGTATTCCTCTTTGATTTCAAGTAGGACTCTGCAATTAAACAATATAAATAATTATTGCAAAATGAATTTCATCAATATAAATATAACAAAATTGCAATATATAATCTTTACCCAAGCAGTGAGGAGGTAGAACAGATGATTGATCTAACTAACAGTTGCTGTTTAACTGTGCATGTGTTTATCATTTTCTGCCCATAAAGAAGCCACGATTTTCAATCAGGAGCTAAAATCAGTCTTTAAACTTAAAAGAAATAAAAATGTGACATTCTTCTTGATAAGTAGAAATATTGACCGATGATTTTTTTTATCTAGGTAAAATGTTTGGCCATATTGGCCAACCCTAAAGCATGATCTTAGCCCTAACTACTACCTGGATACCAATGCAGAGATTTAAATACACAGACTGCTCCTCTCACATCATAAAAAACAAATATAAAAACAACTCTATCATTCACCTAATGTCCTTGACCTTATATCATCTACACATCCCTCTCCTGCATTTGTTGTATAAGCACATACAACACTTCATCAACATTTTACAACCCTGCAGCATGAATCCTGCCACTTACTTACACTCTCTCTCTCTCTCACACACACACACACACACACA